GCATTCTTCTGGGTATTTTTCAATTTAGTTTTTTTTAAATCTTGTTTTTGGGGGCCTGGAGTGGGGTGAGGAGAGGGGAGACAGAGGCCTGTCTTTCTTTGATTTTCATGATTGATGCATGCAAGTGTCTAAACTTTACGTTACCGTGTGTTTTTCGTCAATATCTTGAAAAGAAGTGATTAGTAATTGAAAAAAAATTGAAAGGCTTAAGGTAGAAGGAGACATTGTGCTGTTAACCAGCAGCAACAGGAAAGTGATTGTGATACCTGACCTACCTTTTGAAATCATAACCAAGAGAGAGATGCCAGGCCTCTGCTTTTCTGCTTTATGTGGTCCCAGAATGCATCATTGTTGAGATTGCTTCTCTGTCCAAATTGATATGCACATTAGTTCCTACCAATATAATCAGACGTATGCTTATGAATGGGCAGATTTGCTTCTGAACTGTTCTCCATTTCTTCTATTTTACACTCTTGTGAAACACTTAAACCACTATTATGTTTTGTCATGGAAAGTTAATTAAAAGCTAAGTCTCTTTTTGGTCATTGTGTATCCCCCACTGTGCACTAATTGATGTGTTGATACTGTCTAGTTACCACTATATCCTGGAATCAAGCAAAATTGAATGATAAACATTTTCTGTTGTGGTACTACAGAAATTGTATTTTTACCCAAAAATGTAAACCATTTCACAGGAGAGCTTTCTTTGTCCTTCCATTATATATCATGTACCGAAAGAATGTGATAAAAAAATTCAGGCACAAATTTTTTTTTTTTTTTTTTTTTTTTTCCTGGGGGTTTCCAAGCCGATTATTACAATAAAATAACGGTTTTCAAATGTTATCTACTAGTAGATATTTGAGTAAATTTTTGAGAGCCCTCCTATGCATTTTACAGTTACTATTCTATGTATGGACATGTTGAGAAGCTGGCTGAAGAGATACTAAAAGGAGCTGCATCTGTGGAAGGAGTAGAAGCCAAACTATGGCAGGTATGATATGTTCATTTTATTTCATTGAATTGACACCTTAAATTACCAAAGCTACAGAAAGCATCTGTTAGCCAGAAAACGACTTTTGAAATGTAGTTTTCCAATGAAGTCATATCAGTTTGAAAGTATAGTGAAGTTATCCTGGGAAATTGTTTGCCGTCTTTACCCCTTTGATAAACATGGACGCCCCTTACTGATTTTGGCACACAGCCATGACGCTGACATTACTGATTGTGGTTAATTCCAAATTTACTTGTTCTTTCAAAATGTCCAGTATGATCCTTGATGTTTAGAAACTAAGCTTCTAGAATACATACTTGTGCAGAGTCGTTATCATGTGGCTTTGAGGCTAAGCTGACTTGAATTTGTAATCAAAATGGCTTAATATTAGGAATTCTTTTACTGGGATCTTCAGCTTCATAGTGAATTGGGACTTTATCCTTAAAAGGGACATCATTTTCTCTCCGGAAAAAAACAAACAAACAAAAAGTGATTGCCTGATTCAATGTATTTGGCCCCTTGACAGGTAGCAGAAACACTGCAAGACGATGTTCTTGGAAAGATGGGTGCACCACCAAAGAGTGAAGTCCCTATAATTTCACCCAATGACCTTTCTGAGGCTGATGGGTTACTTTTCGGTTTCCCTACCAGATTTGGAATGATGGCTGCACAATTTAAAGCATTTTTCGATTCAACTGGAGGCTTATGGAGAACCCAAGCACTTGCAGGCAAGCCTGCAGGAATTTTCTACAGCACTGGATCTCAAGGGGGTGGACAAGAGACTACTGCGTAAGTTTTCTGTAACAAGTCTTGCTTTCTGTTAAGTGTCTTCATCCATAACAAAAGAAAAGGAAAGAGACGGATTTCTTA